ATGATCAATTATGTCATTTCACATTTGATCATGAATATTGATTATGAAACTAATGGCTAACTCTTCTCTTGATCTTTGATCTTAGCAGCTTAAGTTATATTCATTTATAATCAATTGGATATGCTTTTCAAAACATTGTTTAAAAAAATTGAAGTCTTTTTGATTTAATAAAAAGAGGGAGAAGTACAATAAGAGGGAGAAGTGTTAGAGTAAGGGGGAGTAATTTCAAACTTGATTTCAAAATCTTAAAATTATTAAAATGTTTTATTATATCAAAAAGGGGGAGCTTGTTTAAAACATTTTGATATTTTGATATAACAAATTAAGTTAAATGAATTTTAAGATTTTACAAAATATTTTCTAAGTATATTCGATATAATTATTCGAATATCAAAATATTACTCCAAATCTTTCAAATGTCATTTTTAATCCTTACTCAAGTGTAAAATTAAGTTTCAATCTTAAAATAATTTCAAAACAATTTTACAAAGTATTTCGAACCGTTTCAAAGCCAAAAATTTCAGATTGTCCAGAGGGAACCGATTCCCCCTGTTTAACGGTCGAAATATTTGAATTTTACACTTAGAGAACCGAATCCCCATGAGGGGTACTGATTACCACCACGCTTCAAGTTGTTTTATTAATTGATTTCATACTTAAACAGCTCCATTGACTCCACTAATCATCCCCAACGTTCAGAATCAATTGAAAGGGTATTTAAACAAGCTTAGAAGTCATTGATCAACAGCAAGAATCAATAATTAAGAGAGAATCAAAGAAAAAGCATCAAACCTCAAGTTTGAGCATTTCAAGCCTATTTTTCATTCAATATTCATTTTGCTTTCAAGAACACTACTTGTACTCAATTGTATTCATTTTTTAGTGTTCTTTTCTTTATTCTAGAATTGTGCAAACAATCTACCTTGTGAGGATTTCCTTGTAAGTTTGCAAATTTGTAATCTTCTCTTTGAGAAAGAGTGTTCTTAAGAATTGGGGTATATTCTTGATGGAGTTGTAAGGTTATCTCTTTGACCTCAAAAGAAAGAACAAATTAGTGAATTTGTTGAAAAATCCTTAGTGTGGATAGCTAAGGTAGTGGACGTATACTTTGGTTGAGAAAGTCGAACCACTCTAAATCGCTGTGCAATTACTTTCAATTTTCTGCAAAAGCTTCCACCAAAATTTTAATTGCCAATTCACCCCCCTCTTGGCTGATTTCATCAATCGATTAACTCAACAAATTGAATGTAGATGCTGCTTCTAGCTTTGACTAGAAGAGGAGTGGTTTAGGTGATGTTCTAAGAAATGAGAATGGTTCAATTTTAGGTTCTTTCAAGGAGTCTTCTGGTCTGGGTCCTCCTATCTTGATGGAGCTTAAAGCTATTCAAAAGGATTTACTTTTCTTTGTCTCTTTTCGAGGGATTGTTAAGGATCGTTTTATTATTGAGTAATAGTAAGGTGGCAGTGGACTGGATCAAGAACGTTGAACTATGTCCAGATGTGTATACTTTTATTGCAAAAGACATCGTTGATAGGCTCAAAGATTTTGAGGGTGTGGTTAGATGGGTTACTAGGACAACTAACTTAGATGCTGATGCCTTAGCTAAGGCTGGAATAGGCTGAGTTCTGTGTTGATGTTAAGGGTTGTTTTTTGGGTTTAAGGTTTTTATGTAAGGAAACTTTTTGAGTGTTGTAATTGTTATGTATCTTATCTTGTTATTAATGAAATTTTAAGGCAATCTTTTCCTCCTTCCGCTGATTAAGGAGTTTCTCTACAAGCTCTATTAATCATGAAGAGGGTTTTTAACGAGGCATATAACTCTTATAAAAAAAATCAACCAATCCGATATTGATCTGAACCGGAAAACAACCGATCCAATAATCACCCGACCTGAAAATTGACCTAACTCGATACTTGACCCTATTCGATTCACCGTACACCTAACTAGATCCGAACCATATCCGATATGAAAAATTTAAATCAAATTTAATCTAGACCCGAAATTACCTGACCTGAAATGACCCGACCCAAACCCAATCTGAATGATCCATTTGCCACCTCTAGCTGTAAGAATCGACCTTTCTTCTCATACCAAAGTACAAGTAGATTCATACCCCTTGTTCCCTTGATGTGGCAGGTTTTAATCGTTTTCTTGGTGCCTTGAGAAGAAAACATGAAAGAACTTCGGATTCAGGCCTCTTGTTTAATCTATGTTATAATCATGACACTACACCTTTAATATTTCACAAACATGAAAGCACATAATCATGCCATACCGAAAAGTGAAACCAATAATTTTTCCACATATATACATGTACCGGCCTAAACAGCATAATGTTATTCTCAAACTCTGAAATAATCGTTTCTAGTTGAATTCTCAATACACTTGCCCTGTTTGCTAAAAGTATAGTAAACCCTAAACCTACAACCCCTTTGGATATCAAATGAAACAAACCAAAAGGAAAATCAGAAAAAAAGGGGGGACACATTTTGTATAGGCCATCCACTGTTTCCTTTTGCAACAGACAGAACTTGCCGATAATCTCTAATGCTCATCCTCTTCTACCGGAATAGACTAGTTTGCTTCAACACTGATGCGAATGCATTTTCCTCAGTCTCTTTCTCAACACTTGCAGCGATCAACCCAGATGTACTCTTTGCTAATTGATGTGTTTTCATATAATTATGTTTTTACTTGCACGGTCTTGAAAAACTACCAACTTCCCCACATGTGACTGCACTTTTTTTGTTCTCCATGCTCGCACACAAGGCCTTCATATGGGAAGCAACATCTTCATCGGAGGGCGTAGCTCCTTCACACAGGCAAGTTTTATGCCTCAATTAAACCCAAAATTACTATATTAGCCATATGAACACATACAGACACACTCCCAACAAAATTCTCCTATTCCATGGTATTCACAATAATTGATGGACTATCCTGTTTAATATAAGAAGAATATATATCCCCTTATATTTTCCAACGGAAGCAACAGAAATAGAAATTCGGGTGTTTTTACCTTGAACACCAACACCAGCTCTTCCTTCCCACGCACAAGTAAAGAGAGGCTCCAGTAACAAGTTATTGGGGTAACATTCTAATAATACAGGTTTCAAATTTCAGCAGCAGGAATAAATCTACGGATGATTCTTCCACTACAACAAAAAAATAAACAAGCAAAAGAAGATGAAATAATAACATTGGTTATGGCGCTATCACAACTACCATTTTTGTAAAAGATAGTGACAAAAAAAATGAAAAATCTCAAGGGTTTATTCATGAGTATTGATTAAACATAAGACAGAAGGATGATCAAGTCTATTAAAGGAAAGCTAGAAATGCCTGAGAACTACTTGCAAGTCCAGGACAGTGCAATGTGAAATGCTAAAATTGGATGGAATAACAACTAAACCCTAAATGCTGAATAACAGCCTAGATCATCAATTATGATACATAGTGACACAATATGTTCCCCTTCTTACACACAATCTTATATTATGATTAAAAGAGGAAGTTCGAAAAATCAAAACAGGAAAATTATCTGGACATCAACTTCCAAAATGTTTTTACATTCTAAAAGTATAGAAAAATAAAAAGAAAAAGAAAAATTAGAACAATGTTTCTGTATATTCAAGGCATACTGTAGAACATGTAGCTATATAGGTATTTAACATTCAATTCTCAGGGAATTAAAAGTTTAAGTAGGTTACCTTGTATAGTGAGTTTCAAGCTGAACTCCAAAGGCTCGCATTATGATGACAGACTCTGAAAGCTTGAAAATAAAAAAAACTTGAGAAAAAGGATTAAAAGAATATAACTATCAATCTCATTCTACTTGTTGAATTGAAACGAAGTTCAGCACATCAGAGAACAAAGGCAACCGGCTGAAAATGGACTCACCTTTGTGAACAGGGTTCCACAACAATAATAATAATATGAAAAAGTGTCCACTTAGCAGCATTCTCCACAAAATAAGAGTGGCTGAAAAATCCTGTTATACCATTCACTCAAGCATAAAAACATTTTAACAGTAGAAATAGAAAATTATTTAGGTTCCCAAAATTCATGATTGGCAATTCCTTACTTCCCCATTAACTCATAGTCATCGTATAAAAGAAAAAGGGAAGTCAAGAATCTATTACTATAAGAGAAGAGTATTGCGAATAAATTGACAGTCCAGAGTCCTACCCTGAAAGAGAAGAAAATGCAGGCAAATGGTAGAAGAAGAATAGCTAAAAAGACAGCCTTTGGAAGACTCTTTTTAACGATGTGAATGCCAACTGTCCCAGGAGGCCATTCACCCTCGTGTATGTAAGCCATTGAGATCTTCCCCATCCTTTTCTTTTGTAAATGAAGATTCTCAAACCTTAAAAAACGAGAGGCAAACTTAAACGGTTACCAATTAAATCAATTCTTCAAACTGTAGATAGGCCCGATGAATCGTCAGGTCTGATCTCGCAGCAGCGATAGGTGAGCGGGAGGAGCCAAAACCTAAAGTGGTGTTTAAAGAAAGAGAGGATCATCTTGTATTTTCTCCTAGTCTTTTAGAAACATTTCACTGTATTAATTAATTTTGGATAATGCAGATAAGAGATCATTAAACTATGCTTAACTAATTATTTTGATCATTTAATTTTAAAAATTATAAATAACTATTAAGTTTATTAAATTATTAGTATAAAATAATTATTAAATTTTAAAAAATTATTGTTAAATAACCATTAAATTTTATTAGAATTTATAAAATAATTATTAAATTTTATCATATTTTATAAAACATTTATTAAGTTTATCAAAATTTTACTCTTACTATAAATTATAGTGACTATTTTATAATAATTTAATAAATTTAATGATCATTTTTAAGTTTAGAAAACTCGATGATCAAATTTTGCTTCCCTGGAGATATAGAGGTTGGCTAATACTTGTTCTATATATAGAAGTGATGTTTAGCATAAACAAAACCAAGCATTTCTCATAATTTCATGAACAGCCCAAACACATTCCTGGAGTCCTTCATATTAACAAGATTAAAAATGAACAGAAAAAAAAAAAGCAGCGTAAAATTCCCACTGAATTCATCCGTTTCCAACTCAACCCTGCCATGCATGGTGGTAGCCACCGCCCAAGAAATGGAGTTGAGAGGTTATCTCAGCTGGGTTCTGAAAGCACACAGCTTGTTGAGCTTGAGGTAGGAGAAGAAGATTCTCCGGCTTTGTCTTTGGTGACTCCACTTCGGTCTCCACCTCTGATTCCGCACCGTTTTTGTTGGAGGTTGCAGCCACTACTACTTGCTTCCTTTTGGATCTGGCTCGTCTGTTCTGAAACCAGTTGTACACATTTGTTTCGGAAATTTGGCCGTGCTGGCTCAGTTCTGTGGTTATCTCTTTGATCTTTTGCTTGCTCGGAGTTCCGGTCCCCTCCTCGAATATACGCTCCAGGATTTGGAGTTGAACGGCTGTTGGTGTCCACCGCTGTCTGGCACTGATTTTGTGTCCTCCGCTTGTCATTAAAGGGTCACAGTACAGATTTCCCAGCCTCCCTCCTGCCCCCCCCCCAAGATGAGTTTTTCAGTACCCAAAATCCAAGATAACAAAGAAGAGCTTAAACAAAGGTTTCATGTCGGATATATTCAAGTAAAGGGATGTTATTTGAATTTAGAAAGTAATATTAGAGATTTAAAAAAGGAATTAGATCATCAATAACAAATATAAAATGAACATACTTCAATATTTATTAAAATGTCATATTTTTGTTTGAAACATTGTCTCTAATGATTTAATTAAAGTTAAAAAAATATTTTATTTTAAGGTAAAAAACTCTTATATTAAAGTATTAATTATATGTTAATTAATGACTCCATTTTAGTATTATGAAAACCCTAAATATCCATTTTAGTATTATGCCTACAAAAGAATACTTCAAACTATATAAGAAATTGGAAATTTTAGAGTATAAGTACACCCCAACACTCCTAGATTCATCTATATTCTATCTATGGATCCAAGGTAAGATGAGAATAAGGAAGAGAAAATCAAGAGCATGGGAGAAGCCATAAATGCGAAAAAGTTTGGGGGAACTGAACATATAAAAAGAGAGAAACGAACCAGTAAGATCTTGGTGGGCAGTGAGGTTCTTGTGCATATCGACCAGCTGCTCGCAGATGGAGGCATAAACAGCGATCTGCTTGCGGAGAGTCTCGAGCTGCTCATCGGTCATCACTTTGACATACATTACTCCATTCCCATTTTCTTCCCTCTGGTTTTGGAGTTGATTCTCTTGCTGTCCATCCCATTCGATTCTCATCATCTTACTTTTCACTCATCTCCAATCTCTTTATCTTGAATTCTTTTTTGTGTCTCGTGAGGAAGAACTTTGAAAAGTGGCAATAAGAAATGGACAAACCGACAGATAAAGGGTAAACGAAGAAGCTACAGTTCACACTGGTAGACTAATTAATTTTGGTATGGTATGCAGCAACATGCGCCTCGCGGTTTGGGTTTATGGTGTTGATTAAAATAGTATTGTAGGTATAGGGGAATATTGATGAAACTCAAGAGTAGAAAAGAAATTCATAGGACGGTTCAGACTGACAGGTTGCTGATGCTGCCAGTGCTAGGTGTGGGTATTATACGTAAGAAACTTTGCAGTGTAACTAAAACTAAGTGGACAACTGACTGACTGTTAACTGCTATATGAGTATATTTTACTATCGGATTCTTTATACATCTACAAATTGCATATTCAAATATATGAATCTGACTCTGAATTATAAAATGAATTCAAATGTTGATAATATAAAATTTTATATGGCATCAAATATATGACAAATAACAATATTAATACTTGAATATTTCATAAATAAAAACAAATTCACAGTTTAAAATAAATTTAAAAATTATAAATTTCCGACTTTTTGCGCCTCAAATAAGGTCAACAGTATATATTCACCGCAAACCTTATCTTGATGTGAGTCCAAAAATAAAATAAAATATACATATTGCTAAATCTTTGGCGAAACATCAGCAGCAAATCATAAGCTAATTATTTATTGTTTATATAGTTCCTTTCTAAAATTTGATAGATTGGGGATGAGCCTAGAACTCCCGCTAACCCATCAACCAAAGCAAGAATAAGGACATGCATACATACGACAAAAGACCATGAATATAACGTTATGATATTGTATAATAGTAGTAAGACTGGCATGTGCATCCCCCACTAATTCAGGCGATGGATGAGAGTCAAAGAAAAGAATTTTTGTTCATATTCACAAAGAGCATGAATTGCCCATCTAACTCAGTTAGTAGAGCGCAAAGTTCATAATCTTATGGTCGTGGGATCGAGTTTCACTGAGGGCAATTTATAACGGAGATCTTTCACAAAAATTGCTCTCAATATGACGTTGAGACAACCTAGTACTCTATCTCCCATTATCCCCATAACATATGGGAATAGGTTCAACTAATTATTCAGAAAGAGCTGAAAGTTGAGGTGCAAACATCAAACTTTAAGTTTCAACCTCCCACCATGGTTTGTTGCTTTAAATGGTAACAGATGATAGAGCAAATACTTTTGACAGGACAACCTTATTTACCCTTTGAATGATACATATAATTCTTACTTTTTTTCTTGGATTCTCACATGGACAATGACAATATCGGTCGGTGTACCTAACCAAAAGATTTGCAGAAAAAGTAATAGTCAACAGATGATGATTGTGTAATCTTGTGGGCTCTTCTCTTCCAAAAACTTTTACTAATCTTACTCTTTCTTTTACCTACTTGCTGTTTGTAGTAAAAAAAAAGAACATTTCCAATAATAGATCAGCTTTAAAATACTAAAATACAAGCATGCATGTAGAGTATGCATGAACCTGATCAAACTCAACATGTGTCGCAAACCCGGCAAATAATATGTACACGGATTGGACATCTTCCGTCAATATTTACCTTCGCCGGGAAAATAATATGTATATGTCTGCCGGCAAAGCCTTATTAATATATGTCCTTCACGGTTTCCTCAACCAGGCATCCTATAATGTGATATTCCACCTCTCTTCCCAAAACATTAGTTTTATCGTTCATCAAACTGGACAAAGGGGTGGGACTTAAATTCCGGGCCACCAAGCTATCAAGCGAGTAGTGGCATCTATCATTTGGAAGATATAAATTGATTTGGATGACTTCCCTCACGGAATTCAATAACTTCCTTCCATGTGGAGGTGGCAATATGGAGGAACCGGGCAGCTTTCTCCTGAACCGAGACATGCTCACTGGTGGCATTAGTATTGTTGAGAATGCTTTATGCAACAAATCGAGTAACAACTTTCGATCTACCTTCTTCTTGTTCTCGTCATTTCTCGAACTACCGTTCTCCTTAGCCCATTTTCTATACAATTCTTTGACTTGTTCGAAGACAGAGTCACCGATAGGCTTTACTAATGAGTCCCAAGTAGATAAAGATTTGTCACATGATCCACCATACAGACTAGAAGCGACGGGCAGGTCTTTAACATAGCCTTCTGCTTGGTCCTCTAGATCCCCCATTTCAGATTCGGTAGACTCATGTTCGATCAATATGTCGTCTGCTCCATCAGACTCGAGTTCATTAAGTTGCCTCCTCAACTCTGGTAATCAATAAAAAGAAAAAAAAAAAACCCTTCAAATTTTGCTTTAATATCATCAAGTAGTTAGATGTTCATCATGCGGACAGTAGCAACATTGAATTGGAATATTAATGCTATTCACAGTGCTTAATGTATATTAAAAGGAAAGTTCCATACCATTCAAATTACCACTGATCTCTTTGAAAACTTGTTGTACCTCATTTTCTTCTCCAAAAATCACATCAGGCATCGATACCGGGCTGAGACAATCCAATTGCTTCCAAAATTCTTCATTTGTGCTGCTGCAAACGGATGCTGGGATCGGAGGCACCTCAATAGAATTATCCTAAGACAACAAAGATATACTCCATTATTAATTACAGAGCAAATGAGAAGTGTATCCAAATGATCTCTTAGTTTATAAAAAAGAAACTGGATAAATGCCCTTACAAGCCTCTTGCTGAAGTTTATAACTGTTGGTCCACTCAAGATGCCTTTTGCTCCACCATTGATTGAATCTTACTGCCAAACAACCTCCCTCGAAGTGTCAAACCATACTTGATATTAGAAACTTTCTCTTTCAAGTTGAACTTTTCTTTCTTCCTTTTACCAAACACCCACTGGCACATTCTCAATGCATTCATGCTTCCTCCTGATCTGAGCACCGGTTAATATATGGTGGAGCAGCTTTCCGAATGATGTTCCCGATACGGGAAACTGACAAAGATGGACCTAACCAGATTTCATGAGGACAGTTCCCCATTTAGCCGTCCAGAGCATCATCTCCATGCCTGAAAAATCTAGTTTGCATTTCTTGTTCATCTTTAACAATTTCCCTGTAGCTATACTCATTTCCCACTTTGGCATATCATGTATTTGCTTTAATCTGTCCCTTCCACTATCAAACACCGATGATCTAGAGCTGCCAGTGGAATCCAACACTGTTTCTTGCTTTTGAACATTCTTTAGCCCCACTGACGGTAATACCCCCAAATTTTGGCAAATACTAAAATGTAATTTTTGAAAGTTTAGTGACCAAAGTAGAAATTTGAGAAAAGTTTAGACTAAAGTGATAATTTTCTCAAAAAGAAGTTTTATCCCGTAAATGAATAGTTCTTCCAAAGAATGATATTTTCGTGGGAATCATTATGATGAACTAAAAATTATGAAAAATCATTAAAATTTTAAAAATGTTCATTATAAAATCTTTTTAACATACATGAGATGAAAAACAAAACATAACCATTTAAGACTAAAACTCATGCATGCATAAACTTAAATGAGCAACCAATTAATCAAAAATAACAGTTTTAAGCTTAGAGGTTACCCATTCCTTTTTCAAGTGTGGCTAGAGCATTTGTATATCATCACTTTCATCACCATTGCTCCCACACACCTACAAGAGACATTTATTTCGATTTTGGTATCCAATTGCTTTGGATCCTTGGATGTTAGTTTCAATGCCCCTTGTTCCCTTGGGAACCCATACTTGTCTAATTTTAAAACGTTTTCCTTTCTTAAAATGACAAATATGTTCCTTGTGATCATAATAATGGCAATGTGAGCATTTTGCTATTATTAAACTAGATGAATTATTTAAAATGATTTATTTTTCTTTTGTTAAGCATTCAAGCTTAACTTTTAAATCAAAATTTTCTTTTTCAAAACTTTCAATTTTCATTTTTGAAAGCTCTAAATCCTTTTTCAACATTTCATTTTGATTTTCAAAATCTATTTTTTCTTTCAAAATAAAATCGTTTTCAATTTTAAATTTTGAAATCATTTTTCTATATTTGAAGTTCATGGTCTTAAACTCCGAAAATAATTCATCTTAGGCAACTTGTAACTCATCAAAAGAATATGAATTTAATTCATTTGAGCTAGAAGATACCTCGGGCTCTTCACGAGCCATTAGAGACACCACATTTTTGGTTATTCTTTCTTGTTTCCATGAAGCTTTTCGAGCTTATTCCAAAGCTCCCTGGCACTTGAACAAGAAGAAATTCCTTCATATATATATGGACCAAATGCACAAAACAACATGTGCATGGCCTTGGCATTAAGTTGAGTTTTCTTCCAGTCTTGGTCACTCCACTTCTTATCATTCTTCTTTGGAGAAGAGTAGCCGTTCTCGATCATCTCACATGCATCAAGATCATTGGATTGTATGCATAGCTTCATTAATTTCTTCCAATGACGATAGTTTGCTCCATTGAAAAGTGGAGGCTTGTCGATCGTTGGGAGTCTTCCATGTAGAACGAGTCAGAGGTGGAAGCCATTTCTTGTCGGTTGCTTTTGAAATTGGTAGAGCTACTTCTAGGATCGTCTTAAGGTGGTTAAATCTTCTAACGAGTTAGGTTATGATACCAATTGTTTGGATTTTGCGGAAGCTCGAATCGACAACCGAAAGAGTTCACCAAGAGGGGTCGGGACGGTTCTTGTGTTTAGGGAGTAAGGAGATTGAAAGATAGAAAATTTGTACATCGATTTATAGTGGTTCAAATTCTCAACCAAGTCTACATCCACTACCTTAGCTCCTCATCAAGGATTTTCCAACAAATTCAATAATTTGTTCTTTCTTTTTACAGGACAAAGAGATAACCTTTACAACTCCCTAGTTTTTCACTAGCTAAACTAGAACCTTATCCCTAGTTTTTCAAGGGCTCAGATAGAACTTTTCCTTTTACAAAGAAAGGAAATGTAAACAAGAAAACCTCTCAAAGGTAGGGTGTTTACAAAATTTAAGCTCACAAGAACACAATATTTACAAGAGAATAGAAAAATAAGATTGAAAAACTCTTCTCTTGTGTTTAAATGCTTGGATAGGTGTTCTTTATGTTCTTCAAGTATCTTGAACATGTATTTATAAGTTGGAATGAGTTTGAAGTCGTATATAGTCGTTGGGGATGTTTTGGAGCTGTTGGGGATTCATTTTTTGCAAAATAAAACTGCCCATAAAAAGTAGTATCGGTACCACTTCAATGGGTATCGGTACTACCTTTGTAATATTTGAAATTTTTTATCGTTGGGCTTGATTTTACCGTAGCAGTATCAATACTAATGTAGAGGTATTGATACCCATTTTGCATTCTGGAATTTTGATCATCGGTACTGTTCATTGTCGTTCACATAGTATCAGTACTATTCATACAATACAATATTATTCATAAAAACATTTTTGTGCTCAATTCCAAATTAAATGGACTTTGAATTATTTTTGAAAACTTTGAATAAATTCAATTCAAGTCCAAAAATATTTTTCCATAAATTGTTATATCAAAATATAGTTCAACAATCTCCCCTTTTTTGATATAACAAAACATTTGAAAAATTGTTTTTGGCAAAACAACCCCCTAAATAAAATGTTTAATGAGAAAGATACCAATTGTTACCAATTGTTGAAAAATATATTAAAATGTTCAGCTCTCCCTTTTTCATTAAGAAATTGAATTTTTTTAACCATACTTTGTTCATTAAGAAAATGTTCAGCTTTGATACCAATTGTTGGGATTTGCAGAAACTCGAATCGATAATCGAAAGGGTTTGTCAAGAGGGGTTGGGTCGGTTTTTGTGTTTAGGGAGTAAGGAGATTGAAAGATAGAAAAATTGCACAACGATTTATAGTGGTTTGACTTCTCAACCAAGTCTACATCTACTACCTTAGCTCCTCACCAAGGATTTTCTAACAAATTCACTAATTTGTTCTTTCTTTTTACAGGACCAAGAGTAACATTTACAACTCCCTAGTTTTTCAATGGCTAAACTAGAACCAATCTCCTTTTCACAAAGAAAAGAAATGTAAACAATAAAACATCTCTAAGGTATGTGTTTACAAAGAATTAAACTCACAAGAACAAAATGAAGATGAAATAAGATTGAAAAACTCTTCTCTTGTGTTTGATTGCTTGGATATTTGTTCTATATGTTCTTCAAGTGTCTTAAACATGTATTTATAAGTTGGAATGAGTTTGAAGTCGTATATAGCCATTGGGGATGTTTTGAAGCCGTTGGGGATTCATTTTCTGCAAAATAAAACTTCCCAAAACAAGTAGTATCGATACCCCATCAATGGGTATCGGTACTACCTTTGTAATATTTGAAATTTTTGACAATTTGGCTTGATTTTACTACAGCAATATCGATACTACTGTAGAGGTATCGATACTCATTTTGCATTCTGGAATTTTTTAAAATCAATACTGTTTACCACTGTTCACACAGTATCGGTACTATTCATACAGTGCAGTACTATTCATAAAAACATTTTTGTGCTCAATTCCAAATTAAATGGACTTTGAATTACTTTTGAAAACTTTGAATAAATTCAATTTAAGTCCAAAAACATTTTTTCATAAATTTTTATATCAAAATATAGTTCAGCACAATATTAGACAAAACAAATCAAACATTGTTAACATATTCTGAGATTAATTCGCTCTCTAAATCCGGCTCATCAAGCGAGAGTTCAACAAACTCTAAATATCCAACATCTCCCAATGAGTCAAAAACATCTCCACCAACATCCCACATCTTGATTTTCTTATCCTTGTATTGATTAGAACTCCTTGATAACAGATTAATTTAGTGAATGAAACTAAATCTTAGGAACAACTCAGATTTAACTTATTCCTCCTAAGTGAGTTGATAAAGGAATAAGTGTTCCAATTTCTTTCACAACAAGAGGATGAAGTAGGTTGTTCATGCATTTTGAAAGCCAAAAGATTGGAGCAATTAAGTTTCGGCACCAAAGTTAGTCCACCAATTTTTAGTATCCAAAGAATACCTTTTGTATAAGATAAATCAAATCTTCAAAATGCTCACTTTAAGTGAGAAACAAGCATATTCGTCCAAGATTTTGTCATAATCAACATCATTTGGAAATAACCTACGAAAACACTTCATTTTCTCTTGAGATATTTCACCATCTCTAAGAGACACAATTCTGTTAAGATATGTAATTAGCCAACCATCACTATAAAACCTTCATCATATTAAAAAGAAAATTACACATATATCAAAGAACTAGGAATTAAGAGTATAAACTTCAAAACTAATAAAACTATGTATGTATCTTGGATTTAGTGAATGAGCTAGACAATGAAGAGGAGTATAACTTTTTGTCCAATGAGCTATAAGAATCCCATAAACAACATGATAAAAAGGATTGAAGTATGAAAGAGAATGTTTTTCCTTCTTGTAAATTTCACACTTCACTTTCTCAATCATGGAATCTCAGATCTCATATACCAAATGAAGACATGGCTTATCAGTGTCACATACACTAAGCATGTCATAGATGGACTTTGGAAATCAATTATATAAGCTACTTTATCCCACCAATCATCACTCAC